TCTTCTTTTCTCTCCTTTCTATTTTTCCTTTTCTTTTTTAATGACCCAAGTGATGTGTGGTGGGTGTGCAGGAGTGATGGACGCTCCCCTCTCTGTTGCAGGCGGTGGCGCCAGTCGTGTGTCCCGTCTGTGGCAAGAGCGTGAGTGGCATTAATGGCAAGCAAAAACTCAGGTACCATATGCTGACCCACACTGGTGAGAGACTTTTCCAATGTCCACACTGCCCTCACCGTGCTAGCCTCAAGTTCAACCTCAATCGCCACATTCGAACGGTGCACAGAGACTTGCAGAGTTCTCAGGCGATGCAGCTGGAGAACTGGAATGCAAGGAATATCCAGACGTCCAATACAGAGACTTGGAATCATTGATTATTTAAAACACAAGTGTCAGTTCTCATAGCAGAATAACTGGAGTAAAAGAGAGAAGGCCACATTATATGTCTCGAGTTAAAACCCAAATGTCGCGCACCAACAGCCATGCATGAGCAAGATGTGAAGATGTAAATTGGCCTGAACCTTTTCTGACTGAGTAGTGTGGTGAGATGGGGATAATAATATTTTTCTCCCATTTTCTTTTGACTCAGTCTGATAAGCAGATGGGTTCCATCCTTTGCAGACCTTAGTGGTAGAGGGCTTCAGATGGTGTCATTCTTTACAGGGCGGGGGTCGCAGCGGGAAGCTTGGTGGGGGTGAGGCCGAGGCGCTGGCCTGCTCTGTGTGTGGCAAGCTCATCACAGGTCGCAACCGTCGACAGCGTCTCCAGTACCACCTGTCGACTCATTCAGGAGAGCGCCCCCACCACTGCCCTTTCTGCCCCTACCGTGCACATCACAAGTTTACTTTGGATCGGCATGTTCGCACAGTCCATAGAGATCACTTCGTCCTTAGAGATGCCCCTCCCACACATGGTGTAGCACAGACGCTGCCATCCTCCACCGTTTCTGAGGGAGCCCCTCCTTCCATGGGCCCCTCCATCACTATGTCTGGGTTGGCCCGGCTGATGGAGGACACCCAAGGGGTTGCAGATCACACTTGATAAAAGATTTATGAGTGGCCATTAGTGTTTGGTAGTTCTCTGGGGATTGTGGCAAGTGTTCCTGTAAATAATAGTAATAAAAAAAAAAAAAAGGATAAAAAAAAGACCTTTGAGATTCTTTGTGGAAGTGCACGTGTTACTCACATCTTTTGTGTTAGAGCGCTGTGTGGACATGCTGGAATGGCTAGTGTCTCCGTTCCAGGGATCGTTGGCAGCGATGGGTGTGACCTCTGAAGAGCGACTCCTGGTGTGTGAGGTGTGTGGGAAGGAGTTCAGGGGCAGAAACCTGCGTCAGCGGCGCGAGAGCCACCTCCTTACGCACACTGGCCAGCGACCCCATGTCTGCCCACACTGCCCACATCGCACTGCCCTCAGGTCCAATCTCATCAAGCACATCAGAGCCATACATCGAGTCCCACCACCTCACACAACTACACAATAGGTGTCATGGCAGAGCTGGCTGTACCATAGTTGAAGTAATTGATATTTGCTGTAATCTCCAGACCATGACAAAGTTAGATCATTAAATAAGTATTAAAGGAATTGAATTGCTGTAATGAAATTTTCATTTGTCTTTCACTGTTTGGAGCCTATTGATTCACCAAGCATTTCCTCCACCCTCTCTCCCACTCTAACCTACTCCCCCACTTCCTTTCTCCCCCACTCCCCCTTCTCCCCCTAATCATCACCCTTGATTAAGATTCTCTATCAGTGCTTTCCTCTGTTGTTATAACTTACCATGAACACTTGGAATGTTATAGCCTACTAGAAGAAACAACACTAAAGATTTATTCAGACTGGGAGTTTCACAATGAAGTTTCTTTTACTAGATCAAAGTCTAACAGTCTATGAATTTATGTGTTTTTGGTTTTCAATATATTTTCTTTTTTATATAGAGTTGTTATGAGTTTCTCATGAACTATCAGAAGAATGTTTTTTATTTGTTAAGAAGTGCATCATTGGTAACTGAAGTAAAGAAAATATTTATATAAATATATATATACACAGAAAGCATAGCTTCATGTCTCTTATTGGTAGGTACATCTAATACGAGGAAATTTGTTTGCTAGTATTCTGTGAATGAGTATGTCTTGCTTGTTAAGAACACACAATGTAACTTATTGCATGCTGAGCGGATTTAGGGAATATGCTGCTGTCTCTTCAAGTTTCCTCCTGTCATTTGTAAACCCAAAGATTCTTTGTTTTATTTTCAAATTGTATAGAGGCGAGTTTCTTGAAATAGTTTAAAGAAAATGGAGAGAGAGAGTTTGTATGTGACTCTGTAGTTAATTATTGAATAAAATGTATATTTGAAGAAATAAAAAGTTTTATGAAAAGCATACCTACATGTAATTGTTCTCAGATAGAGTGGTTTGGTTAAAAGAGAGAGAGAGAAGAAAAAAGAAAAAAAGATTTAATAACATAGTGTGAAATTAAGGTCTGTAGGAGAGAGTTAAACAGATAG